TGATGATGATACCTGATGTTGATACATGATGGTGATACCTGATTATGATGATACATATGCACGATGATACACGATAATACATGTGCATGATGATCATACGTAATCATGAGCGGCAGGGCTATACAATCAAGAGCCAGAGGCAAGTGATTGTATGGGCAATACAACATACAACAATTTTGAATTCAATATATGCTAATTAGATACGACCACTAGTGCTGTATCAGAACAGTATAGATCCACTAGTGGTTGTATCTAATTAGCATTTTCATTGTAAGGTTTGTATCAGGTTTACATGATATTCATGTGACCCGATTTCTGTGTTGCTGGATTGGCTTCAACCCTCATTAATTTTCCATGAAATTTACAAATGATAATACATGAAGATGATGATACATACACACAATGATACATATGCCCTATGAACATGATGTATATTACAGACTGCAAACAACATACTGTCATTGTAGCCAATGTATCTTACCTTATTACTTGATGGCTGTTGATCTGAGGGTTTATATTCTTCTTTTGGATTTGAATATTTGATTCTGTAACTTTCTGTAATGGTGACAGGCTTTCCCTTGGTGTTGCATGCTGTTAGCCCTGAAATGTAACAATTACAAGAGCCTAAAAGGTTAGGTTCAAGAATAGTTAGTTATTCTAGACTAGAATATCGGCATATGTTATACGATTTAAACTATGAAATCAATTTAAACAGAACTTACAGTTTACATTCACTAGTTCCACATTTTCTACACTTTTTCTGTGAAAATAGAGTGTGATCAAAATTACCAATCATTGATTATATAACCATCTATTGAGTTCCTTAACAAGCAATATACCTTTTTAGCTTTAAACATTCCAAGTTTGAGTTAGCAGTGCCCCTGCTTAGGTATAGATCCAAGCCCAGAGTTTGGTTGCATGGCATGGTTTGATCTGTAAGTTTTAGTCATGCCCTTATGTTAGCCTTACATTTTACTTTTGTTTGATCGTGCATAGACATGCAGGATTGATAATATCACTCAGTCTTATTTAATAGCCAGATGAAGCTTCCATTTTTAACTACATGTAGTAGAGGGCACTGGCCAGTTCGGACACAATTTAGCCATAGATTTTATTTTTTGATTTTSCAGCTGGTTTTTAGGGGTGGTATTACCCGATTAAAATATTGCCTAGATATTATTAACGACTAAAAGATGGAACCCAAACGAAGCTCTGATAATTGATTTATGTTTTTAATGTTATCAAGGATAATATTTGTCGATTGAGGGATGGTTATTTTAATCGCCCCACATCCTAGGTTTCCTATGCTAGGTTTCCGATGCTAGGTTTCCGATGCTAGGTTCACACCCTAGGTTCACACCCTAGACTCACATCCTAGGTTTCCTATGCTAGGTTCACATCCTAGGTTTAAAAAAAATAATTATATGTGAAAGTGGCTTAAAGAAATAGTTATATTATATATTAGAAAGAAATGTTCTCGGAAAACAGATATAAGGAAAAAGCTATAAATAATAATAATATGACAAATAATAATATGTTGAATAGTATAATGGACGAATCAGTACCAGAAATTGATCTACCAATTTTAAAACCGGTAAAAGCTACAAATATATCTAACAAAAATATGATCAAAACAGTTACAGACAGTGTTCAGAAGCAATTAAATGAGTTTGCTGACTGGATCATATCATATGTTCCACCAGATGTTAAGAAACCAGCCAATAAACGTTTGGATGATTTGAAAAACGAGGTTAATAATATTTATAAAAGTATGAAAAATACAGGTGATGTGCAAAAGGAAATGAATATTGCATACAAGAAAGAGTCAGCAATGAAGGGTTTTTTATCGTCTTACAGGATCAAAGGTGAGGAAAAGATTGATCCTAAATCGTTTATAGAAAAGTATAAGACCACAGTTATTAGAACGGTTGAAAAACATCAAAAACCAATAAAAATGAAATTAGTACTAGAGTGTGTATTTTATAAAGAGGAGCATAAAGAGATTGTATACACATATGGATATTTTCATAGTAATATAGTTATTATTGTACAAGCTACGAATATAGAAGATGTTTATGAAACATTGACAGGTGATATATTAGAAAAGATTAGTAATTTCCAAAATAGTGGATCGGGTTGGATATTCAATAAAGTGGAGAATTTAGATATTCATATAGATAAATATAARCCTATRACAGCAAAATCTTATATYCCATTACCAGGAAAATTGAAGAGTAAAGAGGCTATTGTTAATCCTATTAATAAGGATAAYSAATGCTTCAAATGGGCAGTTACAACAGCTTTATTTCCTTCTCATAAGAACCCAAATAGGATAACTAAAGCTCTTAGGAATAATAGTGAAAAACTATGTTGGGATGATATCGAATTTCCTGTTCAGCTGGATAAGATTACTAAATTTGAGAGTAATAATCCAGGATATCGAGTAAATGTGTATAGATATATTAATGAGTCTGTACCTATTAGGATAAGTGAGGTTGAAAATGAAGATAGTAAGAAAACGATAAATCTACTATTAATATCGAATGAAGAGACTAATCACTATTGCTGGATAAAAAATATGAGTAGGTTAATATCATCTCAAATAACTAAAAATGGTCATTGTAGGTATTATTGTGAAAGGTGTCTCAACTCGTTTAAAACTAAAAAGGCTTTAGGCATACACTATGAGTATTGTAAGAACCACGAGGCGGTTAAAATTACATTACCAAAAAAGGGATCAACGATCTCGTTTAATAATTATAGGCACTCTATGCGAGTCCCATTTGTCATATATGCAGATTTTGAATGCTTAACAGAGAGTATCGATACATGCCAACGAAATGATGAAAGATCATATACTCAACAATACCAAAAACATAAACCATCTGGTTATTGTTATATGGTAAAATGTTATGATGATAGTATATATAAACCAAAATTGTATAAATATACTGCTAAGTCAGAGGATGAGGATATTAGTCAAAAATTTGTAGAATCGATAGAAAATACTATTAAAAATGTTTATAAAAGATATCATTACAATAAGAAGGTTAATATGACGGACAAGGATAATATGAATTATGATAAAGCTACACGATGTCATATTTGTGATGAGGAGTTGAATGGTGATAAGGTATTAGATCATGACCATCTTACAGGTAAGTATCGAGGYGCAGCRCATAACGAGTGTAATTTGAATTACAAGATACCGAAGCATATACCGGTGATATTCCATAATTTAGCAGGTTATGATGCGCATTTATTTATCAAAAATCTAGGTTCTACAGAAGGGAAAATAGATTGTATTCCCAACAACGAAGAAAAGTATATTAGTTTCAAAAAGGAGATAATAGTAGATACATTTGAAGACAAGAGTGGTAAGGTTGTTAACATTAAACGTGAGATTAGATTCATTGACAGTTTAAAATTTATGGCCTCRAGTCTAGATTCATTAGTTAGCAATCTAGAGAAGAAACAGTGTAAGAATATGAATTTTTTCTATGAGGGTAAAAAGCTTRATCTATTACTTAGAAAAGGTGTTTATCCATATGACTATGTTAGTACATTAGATAAATTAAATGAAACATCTCTACCCCCGATAGAAGCATTTTTTAACAAGTTGAATAATACACCAACTACCATAACTGATTACGAACATGCACAAGAAATATGGAAAACATTCAAAATAAAATCTATGAAAGAGTATCATGATTTATATCTTAAGAGTGATGTCATCCTATTAGCTGACGTGTTTGAGACGTTCAGAGATGTGTGTATGGAGAATTATAAGTTAGACCCATGTTGGTATTACACAGCTCCGGGACTATCTTGGGATGCTATGCTGAAAAAGACAAAAATTAATCTTGAGTTGTTGTCAGATAGTGAAATGCTATTAATGATAGAATCTGGAATAAGAGGAGGGATCTCAATGATTAGTAAACGTTATGCACAAGCTAATAACAAATACATGAAATCGTTCAATAATAAGGAAAAGTCGAAATTCATCAAATACCTAGATGCTAATAATTTATACGGATGGGCTATGTCGCAGAAGTTACCATCCCGCGGGTTCAAATGGATGAATAAACTAGAGCTCAAGAATTGGAGAAAACACCCATGCATACTAGAAGTAGATTTAGGTTATCCAGTTGAATTACATGATCTTCATAATGAGTATCCATTAGCACCTGAGAGACTAGTTATTAATAGAGTAGAAAAACTTATTCCTAACCTAGCTGATAAGACGAAATATGTAGTACATCATGAGACGTTGAAATTGTATGAAAGTCTTGGATTGAAAATAACGAATATCCACAGAGGTGTTACATTTCATGAGTCTGAGTGGTTGAAACAATATATTAGTCTTAACACAGAACTCCGTACGAAGGCTAAAAATGATTTCGAAAAAGACTTTTTCAAACTGATGAACAATAGCGTTTTTGGGAAGACAATGGAGAACAT